TAAGTCCTGATAATTAATTAATGTATTTATTGCCTTTCTTTAAACACATTATTATCATATCAGCAAAATCCAGTAGGCTATCAACCCACCTTGAATTGTTATGTATTGATATATTTGTACATAAATCAATTTCAGTAGCCTACATGTTTATATTGACTAAACTTGATGAGTATTTTAAACCTGTTTTGTAGTCGAATATGTGCCCCAGCCTAGCCTGTTTAATTAAGTAAAATAAACTGAGATACATAAGTGTGTTCATAAGGTTTGTTCTGTATGAACACTAGGCCTGTTAAGTATTAATATTAAGCAAGATATAAATTTTATTTGTGCAGTTCTTAAAAAGTTAAATTCAAAACTCTACCCTAGTAACCGTAGTTAGTGTACTTAATGTGTCCCTCAAACTTTTAAAATAGATTCTACACCCCTGGCTAAATGATTATTGCAACAGACAAGCAAATGTTTAGTCTTTAGAAAGCAAATGCATTATCACTTGGGTATTTGTTCCAAGCGACCCTGCATGTATATTATTTTCAGATATTAAGAACAAGAGCTTAGATTTAAATACAGTAACAACAGTGATGGTGCCTTGACCTCTAAATCCTGGCATTAGTAAGCAAGCACAAGGGTTTCTTAAACACTGGATGCAGTTGAGAGAGCAGCACTGGGGTCCTGCAGGACTATGACGCTCTTATCGCCCTCCAAGTTCTGCTATGGTGGAGTCAATGAACCGTAGCCTGAAAGAAGTCATTGCCAAATCTCTCCCCCGCGTGCTCCTTAAGCTAAGTATCAACACAACTACAGGTGCTGTTGAAGGACCCCGACCGTCCCGGCAGATCCACTGGCCCACAGCCACAAAATAAATGAAGGTTGCACCTTGAAATCAGTGTGAATGCCTCTACGATCCAGCTAACCCGGCTTGAATTTAAAGATAATTCATGCAGACTTTTGCAGAGTCTAAAGTTTCTCAGGCTGGTAAGATTATTGTATAGTGTCATGTGGAGTATGTAGAGTAAGAGCATAGCATAAGAATATGTTGTGTGGTTAGTGATGCACACTGCAGCAATTAATTTTTTACTTAAACACCAAAGCTGACATTAAATTTACCAAAAATGATCATTAAATTTGGATCATTTAACTTGGTATGCTGTTCAGGTGTCATGATCACAGACGATAAACTAGTCAAAGTAAAGTATTTCTGTGAATAGTTCTGTCAAAGTAAAGAGTCACTGTCAATATTTCAGCCAAACAAATTGTACATATTACGTCTCCAGCAGAATTGTTGGCATTGGTGAAGTGTGTCCACATTGCTGACATATTTACCTGTTGTAGCTTTTCCAAATTTTGTGTGGAAAATAGAAGCTGACAGAGTCGAGACGCATCAGATGCAACTGATTTCGACCCTCCAAAAATGATTTCGGTTGAAACGAAAAATTCAATTCAGCCGAATATTTTTGGTTGGCAAAATTTCGGTGTATCACTAGTTGTGGTAGTACAAAATTATGTCCTAGATTGACTTTAGTGTGTCACTGACTGACTAACTGAAACCCATATTGAACAAACTGAACTTTTGTCACTTGAAATATGGCATCTACTCTGGCTAAAGTCTAAATCTATATGTGTTTGTCTTATTTAACTGGATAAATTGTGAGAGCTACTACAATTTAAAACCTTGGCAAAAGTGCAGAGACTTTGAAAGTAGTTTTTTTCTTTGGATATCCTTTGCTGCAGT